TCGAAGGCCAGCCTAAGAGGCCTGACGGTCTCCTACCTCGATCCGTTCTGCAACTGGGATGCCACAGTGAGGACAAGCTGGAGAAACGGGGTGAACAGATTCATCACTGCATCCTACAGCAGCACAGCGTCTTTCTGCTTTTGAATTTCAAAATGACTGTAAACTAAAACACCAGCTTAAGCACAGTATACAATAGCCAAGACATGTAAGCAACCTAAATGTCCACTGACAGATGACTGGATAAAGAAGTTGTGGTATACTTATACAATGGAATACTACTCTGCCATAAAAAGAATGAAACAATGCCATTTGCAGCAACATGGATGGACCTGGAGATTGTCATTCTAAGTGGAGTAAGCGAGAAAGAGAAAGAAAAATACTGTATCACTCATATGTGGAATCTAAAAAGAAAAAAAGGACACTATGAACTCATTTACAAAACAAAAATAGACTCTCAGACATAGTAAACAAATCTTATGGTTACCTGGGAAAGGGGGTGAGGGGATAAATCTGGGAGTTTAATATTTACAACTGTTATCCACTATATATAAAAACAGAAGTTTCTTTTGTGTAGCATAGGGAACTATGTTCAATATCTTGTAATAACTTTAAATGGAAAAAAATATGAAAATGAATATATGTATATGCAAGACTGGGACACTGTGCTGTGCACAAGAAAATGACACACTGTAACTGACTGTACTTCAATAAAACAAAAAAACACCAGCTTAGGGGGAAACCAATCCCATGACCCCAAAATAAAACTGCTTATTTCTCTGCCTTCCCGTTAAGCCTTGTCCACGTACTCGCATATTTTTACATCAGTATAACTGCTGTGTACAAACTACTTCACCTTTCTGGTTAAGACATGCTTTTGAACATATTTCCATGGATAAAAAATGGTTCAAATTCTGCTTGGAGGGAAGGACAGGAATGGGGTTCCCAGAGCACGCTGACTGGCTGTGCAGTACGGAGTTCATGTATCAAAATTTGTTTTCAAAACTGGGATTCCACAAAGTCTTTATCACATACTGGTAGCTGCTCTCCAAAAAAATCGGACCGAGTTACACAATCACCAGAAACTCACCAAACACCAGGCTTTACCATGTTAAGTTTTGCAGAACCCTCACCTTTTTGACACCCTGTTGCTGCGGTAAAACCTGGAATTGAAGAATATGCTACCGTCCACTGATGCGCTACACATTCAGACCTCAGACAGCAGGACTGGAGTGACCTTGGCTCAACACCCAGCTTTGCAGAGCGTTCTTCCTGCACCTAACACCATGCTGCATACAGGAAACTCACCACCCTCCGAGCAAAGGGGTAAGTGGCAAGCTTATGAGACGGTGAAGGACAAACAGAAGAAAACTGAGAGGGCAAGCAACAGCAACGAAAGTCTGCTACTGTCTGAGGACAGGGGAGGTGCTGATGGAACTAGAGGCAGGACTGTTTGGAAAATAGCAGAACTGAATCCTTGGGGCCCCGTGGATTTAAAAGAGCTTGCATGGAATTATCCCTGCATCAGTCATCGCTTTGTCAGCCCAGCTCATATCCCTCCCTGGAGCAGGATAATTCTGCTTAAATACCGCCTCCCTCTCCCTCTGCTGTCTGCTCAGGCTGTTCTTCCACCTACTGACAGTACAGCAGTTAGAAAGCACTGTGTGTGTGCCAGGCATCCAGCAGCTCTTCTACTGGTGCTTACTCCTCACAGCTTCACGGGGTAGGTAAATTTTAACCCCACCTGTAGACAAGGAGCTGGAGGCAGAGAGAAACGAATGCATCATGTAAGTTTCTCTTTGGAAAAGGAACCACTACCAAGGGAACCTGGAAGCCTACTAGGAAAGGATGTTCACGCAGGTAAACGGGTCAGCAAACTTCTGCAGTCAGGAAACTGCCCGTCAGCACCTAGTCCAATGGCTCAGTTCAAGCTGCACATTGAGAATCTGCAGCAAAGCAGCCCAGGGGACACAGGGTCAGGGTGTGGCCCTAACCCAGTCACTCCACTTCCAAATGAGGCCTGGCCTGACTGTGTCTCCTCTGTAGATTTTGAGAGAACCAAACAAAGTAACAGTATGAGGCAACTTACAATCCCTCACTAAGACTTAGGTCTCTTGCTGCACAGAAACTCAAAACCTTCCGAAAAACAGCATGACACAGAAAATTAACATTACATGCGTCCTACAAGTAAAGGCCACTGCATGCCTGCCTACCTCAAATGTCCTCTCCCATCTCTCTGGCAGCGAGAAAGTCCGGGTTGTCTGCTGTGACAGTTTACACACAACCAGCCCCCAGCCCAATGCCCACATGGCCATCAAACATCCCCACAGTGCTCGAAGTTCCCTCACGGAAACAAAACAAAAGCAGAGAGAAAAGCCACCCTTTACAGACTTAGCCCCGAGTTTAACCCTTCCCAGCCTTTCTTTACACTGTGGGTTAACGTTACTTCCTTCAATGCGCCTTGTCTGCATTTGTTTTTCACAGCAATTACTGACCAGCAGACACATGATAGGCCACCAGCGTAAATGGAAAAGGTGCTTGAGAGATGCGCTGGGCATATTCCGGTGCTAATTTCAATGATTTTCCTCTAGAAGGCTTCCCACAGCCTTGGGAGACTTTGTAGACCTTCATGGAGCAAAAAGCATTGATTCCTAACACCGAGTCTCAGCTTTAAGATACAACTTAAGAAAAGGCAAAAAGGGCGTGATCACGAGGCAGCTTGAGCTTCCTCCTGGGGCTCTGCCGGGGCCTCCACGCGGTACCCTCCCCGCCCACCCCGGACCTCCAGCAGGCAGGCTCCCACAACGGCCCTCC